ATCAGTTCCATTGTAATTCTAGTCATTTTTTTAGTTTTCTGTCGCTTTTCATTTGCCTTTTTGCGATTCGTGATTAATAAAAATAATAAAATTTTACTTACGAATTAAAATCAGAAGAAATTTAACAAAGTTATAAACCGTTGCACCGCGAACGTCTAGTCTGGTCTAGTACACCGATAGTGCTAGTTGTTCATTGATGGCGCATATAATTGAATTATGTCGTATACCGAACAAAAGTCGTATACCGAGCAAAATTTGTTTCGTCCAAACAGGACGTATTCCGAATTGGACGTATTCTAAAGCAGACGTAAACCGAGGTACCACTGTATTTGTGTTTAGTAGTTAAATTATTTTGAACCAATTGAATTTGAATATTTTTGAATTATTCCTTTATTATCCCTGCTCTAAATAAGTGCTCTATTTTTCTGAATGAGCCAGACTAATTGATCAGACTATTTTTTCTTTTCTGAACAAGGGGCTGAAGTAGCTAGCTACATCGCACACTTTTTAGTTGGACTAACTCTTCTGGAAAGGTGAAATTAAAGTTCAAACGCTGTCAAATATATATAGATGTAGAATTTTATCACCCCCTTTCTCCTCTTATTAAATATTTGTTAAAAATTAATTTTTTTATACAAATAAATATTAATGTAAGTTAAATATTAACAATAAAGTATTTGGATAAATGTCCCAGGCTCCTTTCAGAATTCAGAGTAGGGTACCCCCTATGAGCATCTCTGCTTCCCATAAAATGACTTGGTATTTAATTTTGCCGGAGTCGGAGTCGGCCTACTAAAATTATTAGGAACCAAAGTTGAGTGTTTTTTTACCAACTCCATAGCCCTGGTTCAAACAGAGATTGACAGATAGCAATGTGAGTAAATTTACTAAATACCAAACTGACTATTAATTACCAATCCAAAGCAATAGTTAGACTTGCTATAGTCTAAAATTAATCATCATTTAGTGACTTTCTATTTGTTCTAGGTGNTAATGTAAGTTAAATATTAAAATACTAACTATAAAAGTATTTGGTAAATGCCCAGGCTTCTTTCAGAGTTCAGAGTAGGGTACCCCCTATGAGTGTTTCTGCTCCCCCATAAAATGACATGATATTTAATTTTGTTGGAGTCAGAGTCGGCCTACTAAAATTATCATGAGTCAGAGTCTTGTTTTTTTTTACTGACTCTGCAGCCCTGGTTTTAACTATTAAAAGTATTTTATATACTGTATTTCAAAAACTGGTTATTTAATTTTAATTATATTCGACTCACCAAATAAACCATATCCAGTTCATAATCTAGTAGAAAANGGAAAATTGGGGAATTACACCACGAAATGGTGAATTGCGCAGCGGAGTTATTGTGAATCAGCATAAATTGAGCCAGCATAAACCTAGGGCTACTTGTATTGCACTCACTTTTTACTCACTTATTCTGTATTTCAACTCACTTTTCTCACTTTTTCAAAGGGGAAATGGCACTCCCAGGCCTGAAATAAAACACAGTGACAATCAGTGACAGATGTTTTAGGCATGCTTGTAAGTAGGGTTGTCAACTCTTTCAAATTTGCTGGGAGAGTCCCCGAATTTGGTAAAATTTTTAAATTTCCAGACAAATTGAGGCTTATTCTTCTTGCATTTACTCAATATAATCAAATGATCAAGTACTGGGTTATATATTAAAACAAATCTGAAGAATAGACAGAAACATTTTGATATTGCTAAGAGTAAAAAGCATAAAATATCCCAAGATTGTTTTTTTTTACTCCTGGAATGGAAATCTTTTGGAATCAACTTTTCAGGAGATGGTAAGTTTGTAACATAAAAGTAAATGCATTGTAATGATAATGGCATTTTAAATTTGAAGTTAATTGCATTGTTTATTTAATTTTGTTGTTTTAATAATTAACTTTTGTAACTGTTTTTTAACAAGTTTCTCTAATTTAGTTGGTTTTAGATGTGAAATATCTTGAAAGTAATAGAAATCTTAGTATTGTCTTGGTTTAGGGAGATGACATCTCAATCTTCTCATCTTGTCTTGGTCTTGCAAAATGGTGTCTTGTTGACAAGACTGGAAATTAGCAAAGGTATAGTCCACTAGATAATTCATCCAGCCTTATCATTTGATGTAATTTGGACATGTATTTAAAATATGTATTTAAAAATGCTTTGAGATCATGTTCGTTGTTTTGAATAAAACAGTAATAGTTCATGAGTAAGTAGAGTGTTCAACTAGATATATTGCTAAAAGGGATTTTCTGGCAAAGGAATTGTCTCAAAATAGAAGAAAAAGGATTTTAAGGTAAAAAGGAAAGGAATAGAAAGAGTTTTGTTAGAATGATAATATCTAAGAACAACAAACAATAAGATTAAGTTAAGAAACAATAAGTGCTACATAAATCTTGTAAATAACTTTAATGGAAAATGCAGAATGGATTGATTTTCATTCATTATGAAAAATTTTTATGAAATTGTTGATATTACTATAAGTCAGGGTACATTATTTTGTGTAACTTTTCATTTTGAAACATTTTTTATAACAATGATTCTGGCAGGATGTATTTAAGGGATATTCATATTTCTAAAATCCTATATTTTGTCTGTCTGAGATTGAGTAGCATTTTCATTGTGTCATGGTTTTACATTGCATTGAAAATGTTAACTTTATTTATTTATTTACATTGGGAAATGTCGGAGACAATTGGATTACTGATAACAAAAGGAAAAAAATCCCCAATAAAATATTAACAAAGTATAAAAACATAATAAAAATTATAAACATAGAAAAAAAACAATTACATTATGTATTATACAAAATAGATTTACATTTATTTTTTAAAAAGTTAAAATCACTACATAAATATGGTTCAACAGGATGTGTATGAGAGGCTATTTGGTAAAAAAAAAAAGATCTTTGTGAGAGAGAAAGGTGAAAGTACAGGATGAAGAAGCATGATGTATTGTGGGTTCTTATAGTTGGAATGTGGAGTCCTAACCAGTAGTTTGGGATTTGACCATCGAAATAAAGTTTAGTAAAAATTTATGTTTAATATTTTAAAGACAAAGTTTGCCCAAACAGGGACCACCATTTATTAGTTCTGTGTTTCAGACGATACAATCCTGGCGACTGATTGTTTGGGCAAACTTGTCTTTAAAATATTAAAAACAAAGTTTTTCCTTGAATATAAAACCAACCAAAGTAGTAAGAAAATTTGCATATTTTGCATAAATATCATAAAAGATTAATGATGATAGTAGTAATAGTAATAATAATCAATAGCAAGAAACAATTAATAATGAACAATAATATTAAAACAGGTTAGAAAAAAAAATTACAATATCTTAAATGGTTGTGGATGTGATGTTTTTATACTGAACTTTGTGATCTACAGTCAATAAATTTGAGACCCAGCAGGTGCAAATTTTTCAATATCTTAATCTTTTAAAAATTATTTGAATCATTGTGCCTTATTCATAACTTTGTTGCAAATTTTGCTCACATCAACCATTTTATTGTTGTTTAGTTGAGGCTGTTCTGGGATGACAGATGCATGGTTGATCTTGGATACTTATCTATTATCATATCAGATAGTTTCGTTAAAGTAAATTTCTTCAGTCATAGCATTTATAATTCAGAATTGGAAAGAAATTATATTGAATTAATGAAATAATCTACATAAAATGATTTATTTGCTTTGAACATACAACTGCATTATAATTTTAAATATCACATTTAAGAATTCATATTTTAAAATTATGAATATTTTGTCTGTAGATAAATACATTTGCAAGTTTCTACAAAAAGTAAAGAGAATACTTAAAAATTTTAATGAATTTATTAATGGATTTAACTGCTAGTTGAGTAAATTTAATACAATACATGTAATTTATATACAGGGTGATCATAGAGTATTCTTATTCAATTTTGTCTGGAGTGATATATAGCAGTTCAAATGGAACTAATGCTGGGATTGTATTCTGGTAATTGTCTCTGGTCTCTCGTCTCTTGCAAGCCAGTCGCTGATTGGCTAATCATTTGGATTAGCCAATCAGTGACCAGCTTGCAAGAGATGAGAGACCAGAGACAATGACCAGAATATGGCCCCCTGATGTTTCAGGACATGCAGAAGAAATTTCAGGGGATGAATTTAATTTTAAAATTAATTGAGACAACTTAAATTGGTTCAAAACCACCCATCAGAATCCTTGAAATGTACTCAAGGCATTGCTATTGTTTTTATAAGACAGTTATTGCAGTAAGGTTACATTCTGGTAAAGTTATATATTGTACTCTCCAGCTGAATGGAATATGAATGGAATTCTGCATTACATAAGTAGTTTTATATCTAGCAATAACTCATGGCACATGTCTATTATGTATATAATACATTTTTGCTGCTCACAGTGCACTAATACATAGCAAATGGAATTAATTCCATTTGCTATGTATTAGTGGTGGGTATTGGAATTAATTTTTTTGCTTGCAGAAATCTCTTCAGCAAGACCTAAAACATCAACATACAAATTTGATTGTGTTTGCACAGCTATGTCTTCCTCTGACCAGTGCTTCTGAAACTGTGTTCACAGATCAGTTTTCTTTCATTTAGTCACTTGCAGATCAATATTTTTGTAAAATTAAATAATAATAGTATTTTAACTCAATTCTCTTTTATTATTATTATTTTTATTTTTTAGAATGAATTAGTGAGAAAAATACAGTAACAATATTTCATTTTAATCTTTCTGAAAAAATGGATTTATAGGCTATTTCAAGTAATTTGCTGGGCTAATTTCAATTTATCTCAGGCACTAAGTGTTTTAACCAGGGCTGTGGAGTTGGAGTCGGGAGGAATTTCTGGCCAGATTTCCGCATTTTAAATTTACTTAAATTTTCTTTAATTTAAATAAAAAAACTAATTATATATTTATTAATTTTTAAAAATTTTTTTGTATTTTGTTATAATTTATTTTAAATACAAAATGCATCAATTTAATTTATTAAACAAGTAGTATTCTTTGTAGTACAGTGGAACCTCGGTATACGACCTTAATCCGTTTCCGATGTTTGGACTTATACCGAATTGGATGTATACCGAACCAACCTTTCCCATAAGAAGTAATATAAAAATGATTAATCCGTTCTCACGTAAAAAAAATTGGCTGGATTTAAACACCTCGCTTTCCTGGCTAGTTCCTGCTTGATTTTTCATGAGATCAGCGTGTATCTTTTTAGCTTTCTCGCAAATAATTCTTCCTATACGCTGTCTCCAGCACTGTTTTTCAGTTATCCAAAGCAAAAGCAATTTCTCGACATGATCTAATGTCTTCGATCTCTGTTTAGAAATTGATTTAACCCCTTTCGCAACGTTAGCAGATTTAATAATGTCTTTATTTTTCGCGATTGTCCATATCGTTGTTCTCGGAATACGGTTGGCAACAGTTAAAATCTCAAACATTCGTGCCACCTTCGTATTTCTCAACAATCTCTTTCATCAGTTCCATTGTAATTCTAGTCGTTTTTTTAGTTTTCTGTCGCTTTTCATTTGTTTTTTTGGGATTCGTGATTAACAAAAATAAAATTTTACTTACGAATTAAAATCAGAAGAAATTTAACAAAGTTATAAACCGTTGCACCGCGAACGTCTAGTCTGGTCTAGTACACCGATAGTGCTAGTTGTTCATTGATGGCGCATATAATTGAATTATGTCGTATACCGAACAAAAGTCGTATACCGAGCAAAATTTGTTTCGTCCAAACAGGACGTATTCCGAATTGGACGTATTCTAAAGCAGACGTAAACCGAGGTACCACTGTATTTGTGTTTAGTAGTTAAATTATTTTGAACCAATTGAATTTGAATATTTTTGAATTATTCCTTTATTATCCCTGCTCTAAATAAGTGCTCTATTTTTCTGAATGAGCCAGACTAATTGATCAGACTATTTTTTCTTTTCTGAACAAGGGGCTGAAGTAGCTAGCTACATCGCACACTTTTTAGTTGGACTAACTCTTCTGGAAAGGTGAAATTAAAGTTCAAACGCTGTCAAATATATATAGATGTAGAATTTTATCACCCCCTTTCTCCTCTTATTAAATATTTGTTAAAAATTAATTTTTTTATACAAATAAATATTAATGTAAGTTAAATATTAAAATACTAACTATAAAAGTATTTGGTAAATGCCCAGGCTTCTTTCAGAGTTCAGAGTAGGGTACCCCCTATGAGTGTTTCTGCTCCCCCATAAAATGACATGATATTTAATTTTGTTGGAGTCAGAGTCGGCCTACTAAAATTATCATGAGTCAGAGTCTTGTTTTTTTTTACTGACTCTGCAGCCCTGGTTTTAACTATTAAAAGTATTTTATATACTGTATTTCAAAAACTGGTTATTTAATTTTAATTATATTCGACTCACCAAATAAACCATATCCAGTTCATAATCTAGTAGAAAAATTCTTTTTACGAATGTTTTCGTCTATATGTAATAGACATCATCAAAAGTATTTTATATACTTTTATTATTTAAATATGTTTGTTGTTGAAACTAGTTTAAAACAAAGAAAATACATAAAATTATGAAATTTTAAGTGAAATCTCGTTGTGTCCCAGCAATAAACTGTTTGAGGACTGCAGTTTGAGTAGCACTGCTCTAGACAACAGTGAATAGAGATACTTTAATTATGATCATCCTGTACATTGCATTTGATTAAAATTACTAAATTTTAGTTAATTTACGTCTATATATCTTAAGAGAGAATTAATTTTTGTTTTTCTTTTAGACACAATACTCAGCAAACATGTAATGATATTATTGCTAATACTACCAAATCATTAAGGACATTAACTTCTATTATAACTTCAAGTAACCTTCCTCAAAGAGAAAGCAGGGTAATATATAAATTTATTAATTGAATAGTATAAAAATATACATGGTTTTCTTTTACTAAAAATTATTATTATTTATTATTCTAATACTTTAATGGAGCATAATATATACATAATACATATATATATATTTCCATTTAAGCCATGTATATAATGCTTATAAGATGTTAGAGGGACTTACCAGAAAAAAAATTGTTTAAGAAGAATAATAGTATGTTTGACAGTTGAGAAAGAGAAGGAAATGGAGATAGATAAGGCTAACATGTGTAGAGTACTGATTAATTAAAGGAGTAGGTAACATAACAAAAGTATATTTAGGGCCACAAGATCATCATTTGTGACTAAGATCAGGAAATGTAGAAAGGATATTGAGAAGGCTCAGGTTACCATAGTTTTAAGTCAAGTGGTATATGAGACAGATATAAGATAGAATGAGAGAGAGCAAAGATTATAGAGGGTTATTGTCTTCATTTATACTTTAAATGTATGCTTATCTTATGTCTTGTTAATATTAATAATGTATTTGAAGATTTGAAAGCCAAACACGTATTTAGTAATTTGATTTGTACACCAGATTTTAATATGTAACAACTGTATAACAACTGAAGAGGGATGATATGAGTTCAAAATGCATTTTGTTAAAGGTACTAAAAAGAATAAAAAAAAAAGAGAGTTATAACATATAAAAGTCATTGTGATAAGTTTGGGAAAAACCAGCACTATTTGAGTTGCTGAAATAATAATAATAATTTCATCATAGAGGAGCTTAGAAGGTGATTGGATCAAGCAGAAAGGACATGAATTTACAAAGAAAGTTTAAGAAAAGACATGAGTTATAGTAGGGACTTGGAATTGTTTCCTACATCATGAAAGTGGTTATTAGGAAGAAAAAGGTAGAGGGCAATAATTGTCAATTTCAAAAGTTTCTCTGCTTCATCTTTTAGAACAGTAGAAGTCTTGAGGATTTAGGACTTTTACTCCCGTATTCACCAATGCGAGTTAGAGTTAGGGTTAACTCTCGAGTTATTGGTAAATTTGTGAGAAGCCAAAGGTATAGAATTTGTCCTATGTCACTTACTGGCACACAATTGTTAGATTGGCTCACTTATTCTTTTGGAGGGCTTTAAATAAATAGTTAAAGATCTAGATGGTAAGATCTAGATCACGTCAGGATTTTTGACACCAGTTAATCAATTTTCTTACATGTGGATTAACACGCGTTTATGAATCAATACAAAGAGGATGAGATCTTTTGATTCAGACATAATGAGACATTTCTTAAACATAAAAATATTGAATATTTAATAAAACCAAACAAAATATACAAATTCGACCTTCAATATATAATTATGATTATCGAGAGAGAGATCACATTTCCATTCAAAAATCATACTACCTCACAAATTATTTTCTATTCTTCTGTATTCTTTCTATTTGGATTGATGTGAATGTTTGTTATTTCTCTAGTTCTTATCAGGTTTTCGTTCTTGTCTCTTTTTAATTTTTAGGCGGCACCTCATTAAACATTTTCTTCAACTTAGAAACTTAGAAACAAACTTTGTATGAACTTCGGGAGTTGGTTATGGGCATTGGACATGGGGAGACAATATGGAATACGTCCTTCTCTTGTGGAATTTCATGGCATACGCGTCGAATAATACTAAAGAATCCCCTTTTTTGATGATTTCATCCAATGGGAATATTGTATTCCTCCCACGTGTTTAGGAAGAGTGGGGTTTTACAAAGGTGTAACTGTACACTGTGTGACTCAAAATTTGTTAAGATAAGGGAAAACAAAAAGGATGTAGAACTTTCGTTGAAAAGGAAGTGTGTTTTACCAGTTTCCTTCATTTTTAACTTAAAAATTTGTCATTAAAAATTAGGAATATTATTTCCAAAAATTATGGATTTGACATAAAATTTCACTTAATTAAGGGGGGTGTTCAAAATCTCACAAATTGGTATTCACCAACTCTGAATCTCGAGCCAAACACAATAACTGTAACTCTAACTCTAGAAAATCAGTGACTAGATGATAACTCTGGGTTTGATGCCTGCGCAAAGTGATCTATTTCAAGGAAAAATGGCAACATTTGACGAGGATGAAGCCGAGATGCTAGAAAATCTGAAATATCTAGATTATATAGATCGAACGAAGGAATCAAAGAAATGGAACGAAGAAATCGGCAGATTATTTCTCCAAGAAGAAATGACCTTGAACAATTGGATGGTTATGACTTTCTATGCTGATATCGTTTGCCAAAAGAGAGCATAAGAAAATACTAGAACGAATTTGTCACAATTTAGTTTCTACATCATCGAAAAATTATGTTTTCAATTATAGATTTATACTTTTTGACTAATTCAAGTAGAATTTCCTTCTCAAAATTAGTAAAATTACGGCATGCACTATTTTTCATTTCACTTTCCGTCATTTTCTACATGTGGTTTGCTTTCAACCAATCAAGACTCTGCCTATGAAAGAAGACTTGTTTAATCTTGAACGCAGGATTGTTTTAAAACATTAGCTCTAGAGTAGCGAAACTATAGAGTTATATTTTTGTCTGAATATGAAAGAAGAGTAACTCGTAAATCTGACTTCGAGTTACATCTAAACTGGAGTTCGTCAACTCTCTGTTTAACTCATGTTGGTGAATATAGGGGTTAGTGGAAGAAATTAAAATGAGGTTTACTAGAATTATTTTTTACAGACTAAAGATTGCATTTTCCTGAAGATGAGCATAAATTACTTGAGACAGGTCATCAGTTGTTAAGAAGCAGGTCATCAGATGTTAAGAAGCAGTCAAACAAAGCAGTTAGAAATAATTAGTAATACAAGTAATACAAAGTTGAAGTTAAGTTGGAATTAACATTCTGGAAAGAAGTCCATTGCTAGGAAAACCTGGGAACCTTGGCTGCTTGGGATTCTTCCAGGATGACAATGACAGCATACATCAAGTTTTCATCATGCAGGAATGATTCCCGGTGCAAGACAGCTCCTTCACACTCCTAACATGCTTTGAGATGTGTTGGAGAAGAAAGTTTGCAGCCATCACACTTCCCATTTTTACTGCTTGATCTGGATATGGATGACCGATTACTGGACCTGTGTGTAATATCCATATAGACACCTTGCTTAGGCTTGGACCTCTATGCTACACGTGTGCACAATAATCAGTAGCAATGAATTATTATGTCACAAGATTTTTTACCACTATATGTATACTCAGAAATAATAACATTTCACATTTAAAGCTCTCTATATAAAAATTTTTAATAATCATAACCAACAAAGAAAAGTTATAGTTTAAACTTATTGTAGGTTTGTACTTTTTAAATATCTTTTTTAAAAAATGATGTGTTTCTTATAACTTCTTCGTGCACACCGGGGTGTATAATAAACAAAAACCTACTTACTTGTGCCTCTAACCGGTGTGTAGAAATACAAAAATAAATAATTTTGTAAAAACAAACATTTTCGTTTGTTTTTACAAATGTGATATGTTTCTACTATATAAAAAACAAACGTGATGTGTTTCTACTATATAATTGGAATCTAGCAACAAGTATACTATATTTGTAATCTTTATACAGCTATTCCTTGCTTAACAACTTTAATTCATTATTCCTGAAAACTGTCACAAAGTTAAAAATCATTAAACAAATAAGCAAATCCCATTGATTATAATGCATTCCATCTTGTCCGAAGATATCCAAACGGTTTTCACAGATAAAAATTATATATCAATTGAGAGCCAATTGATATATAATTTACATTACATTACCAAATTTACCAAATTCACATTAAGGTAAAGGCACTAAAGCTTGACCGTGCACTAATGGTTGACATTTCCAGATACATATATAAATATGTATTTGGAATTTGTTTATAAATACAAATATGTATTTATACAAATATGTATTTATTTATTTAGAAGATACAAAAGTCAATCTCAAAGTTATGGCAGTGAATTGCTGCAATGACAAAAAGACTGTTTTTAAACAAAACGAATCCAATATTAGAATTATTACTTATTCACAAATAATAAACGTACTTTCAATGCCAAAAATAATTGTAACTGAAGATAGGATTAAATATCAATTATCTACATTTAACCAACAACATCAATTAATGCCAACTTGTAGTGATTTTATTTTAGGTTGTGTCAACTAATAGTTTCAGGAGATTGATTCAAGAATTAAAATGTTTTTCTTTTTTAAAATTATTTTTGAAAAAATACATAGTAATTAAGTTAATTACTGAAAGTTTGTGTAGCAATTACACTTAAATATTTATTCTGAAACAAAAACACTTTCTAGTTATTAGCAGAAATGGAATATATTTTTTTTCTTACTGTTTCAATTATCAGTGCTTTTATATTAGCAAATTTATATTTAATAAGTAACAATCCAAAAGTAAATAAATACAATTTAAACAGAAGATATAATATAATGATACAATACTGAATTTGCCGATATGATCCAATACTGATAATTTCCAACTGATTTGATCAGATGCTTAATCTCTATAGATATTATCACTACCTGTAGAGTATGGACCAAATGAAAGCCTGAAAGATCTTTTGGTTTGGAGAATAACCATTTAAATTCAAACTTAAAGAAATAAGTGAACAAAATGAATAAAGTTCACAGATCAATTTATGAACACCTTTCAGATCTGGGTTTTATGCAGTTGTAATTTTCTAGATTGCCTATACCTGATTCTGACTCTGTTTGAACACATCTTGAATAAACTTATAAAAATAAAGAAAAATCACCAGATTGAAAAAATTATTTTCAAATCTGCTGGCTTGAAATTTCACAAAATCAGCAATACATTATCAGACTTAGCAACAAGTTTGCATGTTGCCCATGCAGTGGTGCACTCAGGATTTAATCTTTAAAAATGTTTCTTGGCTCCTAATGTGGAATTCAATAAAATTCCTACCTTATGTGGCTGCTAATTCATAAGTAGTATAGAAATAAAAGATACTACAGAATATAAATACAAAAAATGAATTTTAATTAAGAAAAGAATTTCTAGTGTTTTTTTCTCTTTTTCTTTGGAGTATGCCAGGGCACCTTGGCCCCCTCTGGGTGCACAACTGTGCCCATCCATTGCTATGCAGTACCCTTACAATAAATCACCAAATGATCGCCTAAATATCAGGCGATCATTTGGCGATCATTACTTTATGCCAATCATTTAATTAGCTATATTATAGTCCGAAATTACTTTATGCCAATCATTTAATTAGCTATATTATAGTCCGATATTTAGGCAATTGTTTGGTGATTTATTATATTCTACTCGGGCTTTGCGATGTTATTATTCGTACCCTTACAAAGTTGATGTCCTTGAAAATCAACCACCATTGTACTGTATTTCACATGCCTGTTGGAGGCAAATCATGTATGGAGTTCTGTTTAATGTGAATTAGATTTACAGCATAAGGCTATTACTGTATTTGAATGTCTTCCATTGCAAAATGATGTAAAGGATATATTGAAAAAAAATTGAAGTATAAGTTTATAAAATAAATTGATTCTAATATGCAATATATATATATTTCTTATATGCAGTATTTTTTTCTGGGCAAGTACTCAGCTAGTTTTCTTAATATCTGGAGTCAATCCTATTTCATATATATTACACAATTGTCATATTTGGTTTTTAAGCTAGGCACTAAACTAACATTTTTATATATTCTCTATTTTTATCAAATGTAACATGTTTATATTTAAAGTATTAATTTTTCAATTATTACATATTTTATTTTAGTTACATACATATGTATTATTAAGAGAGATTAATGTGCAACTATTTTTTTTAGCAACAACGTCTACAGTTAGAAAGGCTAAAAAATGAATTTCAGGAAATAGTGAAGAGGTATAGTTCTTTGCAAGGGGTAAGTTTGTATATTTTATTCTATTAAAATATCTTTGTATTAGTTTTTTAAAATATTTCTGGAAGGAAAGTATTAATTCTATATATACAAGATATTTTTATTTACTATTGAATATTCTAAGTTTGATGCCTTACTATCCAAAATTGAATTGAAATTAATTGAATAGTTAAGAGAGAATATGTAGAATAAGAGGTAAAATTTGTTATCCCATAAATTCTCTCTTAAATATACAATTAATTTATTGAGTAATTGTTATTTGTTCAATTCATAGAACAAAGTAGTAATACTTGCATAACAATACACTTTTGACTCAAAGAAAGAATTCAAAATTACATCCTTTGTGCTAAAATCATCATGCATTTGCGGCTCATGATGATGCCAATGAAGAGTAAAATTAGTTAATGATCTTAGCTTATATACTAGAGATGCAACCAATACCTATTGTAACTAGTACCAATGAAACTATTAAATTTTGGAATTATATCAATTAATGGATCCCAGTGTACAATAATGTAAGACCAGATTTATTTATGGAATTGTTTAAGTATAATTGTTACTACAGTTTTTTTAAATAATCATTACAATTAAGCATTTCTTAAGTTACAAAATAGTTGAAACAAATTACAAACATTTATTCTGTGGAAATTATGTATTGTATGCTTAAATGTTGCCTCAATATTATCATTAAAAATTAAAAACCTCTAAACTGCTAGTATGTTTGTTTTATTAATTTTTTTATTGCCAATTTTTATTTTAACTATTGTTAACTACTGATATCAGACAGTAAAAGAAATTTTAAGTTAAAATTCATAATTCAAATAATACAAGAATTTTTAGCTTATTTGATGTCACTTTATTAACCCTTTACCACCACCATCTTGTTTACGTTAATTTTGTAAACTGTCCAAAAGTAATATAGGTCAGTCAGGCAATATTATATTAAAAATTCACCAAAAATAAAATTATTATATTCATATGAAAAAAATTATGTACNATAATATAGAAACAAAATATTATTTCTATTTAATGTTCAATTATTTGCTTTTGAAAATGCAATGTAATGGATTTTTATCCGGAAATTAAACCAAGAGCTGTTAGTAAAATGCAGTCAACCCCCCTATAACATGGTAGATACGTTCCACTTTTTATGAAATTCATGTTCTACGAGTCCTTAAATACATGAGCCAATCACAGCCCGGCACGTATGCAGTTTACAGACTACGGCTGTTTGAAAGGTCTTCTTCCATAAAATTAATCGATTCTAGACTAATTCGACTCAACATTTTCAAAATACATATATTTTTTTTGGGAATAATCCGTATAAACTACGCTATAAACAAAAAATTGTAGGATTACTTACCGAGTGTGCACCGTTCGACGTTGCCATTGCTCAAGCTTGTTTTCGTCATGGAGCAACGCACCAAACCACGGCCGCGATTCCTGATAAGTTATTTTTCTGCGAAAACTTTGTTGAACTTTGGAGACATCATTAATATAAATAATTTTAATCGCCGTTGAATAAGAAATGTTTCTTTCACAAGAAATGTATAAAATTACAGTACTGTATTAGACTTACGGTACCTAATTTACATACTGACAGACGATAGTTAGCGTAAAAATCTCCGTAGCGTGGCGCCACGCTAGACGGCGGAAATTATATATTTAATTATAACAAAGTTACAATAAGTTAATATATAATTATATATACAGTACCTAATTTATATATAATTAATATATAATTATATGTACAGTACCTAATTTATATATAATTTATATAATACTGTCCAGACGATAGAAATCTCTCCGTAGCGNATCGAAATTTTAACTTTTGAATTTTATAATATTTGTTGTAAGGTAAAGGCACTAATAGTCACATTAAGAAAAACTTATTTTATGTCTGCTAATCACTTAAATATTTATTCTGAAACAAAAACACTTTCTAGTTATTAGCAGAAATGGAATATATTTTTTTTCTTACTGTTTCAATTATCAGTGCTTTTATATTAGCAAATTTATATTTAATAAGTAACAATCCAAAAGTAAATAAATACAATTTAAACAGAAGATATAATATAATGATACAATACTGAATTTGCCGATATGATCCAATACTGATAATTTCCAACTGATTTGATCAGATGCTTAATCTCTATAGATATTATCACTACCTGTAGAGTATGGACCAAATGAAAGCCTGAAAGATCTTTTGGTTTGGAGAATAACCATTTAAATTCAAACTTAAAGAAATAAGTGAACAAAATGAATAAAGTTCACAGATCAATTTATGAACACCTTTCAGATCTGGGTTTTATGCAGTTGTAATTTTCTAGATTGCCTATACCTGATTCTGACTCTGTTTGAACACATCTTGAATAAACTTATAAAAATAAAGAAAAATCACCAGATTGAAAAAATTATTTTCAAATCTGCTGGCTTGAAATTTCACAAAATCAGCAATACATTATCAGACTTAGCAACAAGTTTGCATGTTGCCCATGCAGTGGTGCACTCAGGATTTAATCTTTAAAAATGTTTCTTGGCTCCTAATGTGGAATTCAATAAAATTCCTACCTTATGTGGCTGCTAATTCATAAGTAGTATAGAAATAAAAGATACTACAGAATATAAATACAAAAAATGAATTTTAATTAAGAAAAGAATTTCTAGTGTTTTTTTCTCTTTTTCTTTGGAGTATGCCAGGGCACCTTGGCCCCCTCTGGGTGCACAACTGTGCCCATCCATTGCTATGCAGTACCCTTACAATAAATCACCAAATGATCGCCTAAATATCAGGCGATCATTTGGCGATCATTACTTTATGCCAATCATTTAATTAGCTATATTATAGTCCGAAATTACTTTATGCCAATCATTTAATTAGCTATATTATAGTCCGATATTTAGGCAATTGTTTGGTGATTTATTATATTCTACTCGGGCTTTGCGATGTTATTATTCGTACCCTTACAAAGTTGATGTCCTTGAAAATCAACCACCATTGTACTGTATTTCACATGCCTGTTGGAGGCAAATCATGTATGGAGTTCTGTTTAATGTGAATTAGATTTACAGCATAAGGCTATTACTGTATTTGAATGTCTTCCATTGCAAAATGATGTAAAGGATATATTGAAAAAAAATTGAAGTATAAGTTTATAAAATAAATTGATTCTAATATGCAATATATATATATTTCTTATATGCAGTATTTTTTTCTGGGCAAGTACTCAGCTAGTTTTCTTAATATCTGGAGTCAATCCTATTTCATATATATTACACAATTGTCATATTTGGTTTTTAAGCTAGGCACTAAACTAACATTTTTATATATTCTCTATTTTTATCAAATGTAACATGTTTATATTTAAAGTATTAATTTTTCAATTATTACATATTTTATTTTAGTTACATACATATGTATTATTAAGAGAGATTAATGTGCAACTATTTTTTTTAGCAACAACGTCTACAGTTAGAAAGGCTAAAAAATGAATTTCAGGAAATAGTGAAGAGGTATAGTTCTTTGCAAGGGGTAAGTTTGTATATTTTATTCTATTAAAATATCTTTGTATTAGTTTTTTAAAATATTTCTGGAAGGAAAGTATTAATTCTATATATACAAGATATTTTTATTTACTATTGAATATTCTAAGTTTGATGCCTTACTATCCAAAATTGAATTGAAATTAATTGAATAGTTAAGAGAGAATATGTAGAATAAGAGGTAAAATTTGTTATCCCATAAATTCTCTCTTAAATATACAATTAATTTATTGAGTAATTGTTATTTGTTCAATTCATAGAACAAAGTAGTAATACTTGCATAACAATACACTTTTGACTCAAAGAAAGAATTCAAAATTACATCCTTTGTGCTAAAATCATCATGCATTTGCGGCTCATGATGATGCCAATGAAGAGTAAAATTAGTTAATGATCTTAGCTTATATACTAGAGATGCAACCAATACCTATTGTAACTAGTACCAATGAAACTATTAAATTTTGGAATTATATCAATTAATGGATCCCAGTGTACAATAATGTAAGACCAGATTTATTTATGGAATTGTTTAAGTATAATTGTTACTACAGTTTTTTTAAATAATCATTACAATTAAGCATTTCTTAAGTTACAAAATAGTTGAAACAAATTACAAACATTTATTCTGTGGAAATTATGTATTGTATGCTTAAATGTTGCCTCAATATTATCATTAAAAATTAAAAACCTCTAAACTGCTAGTATGTTTGTTTTATTAATTTTTTTATTGCCAATTTTTATTTTAACTATTGTTAACTACTGATATCAGACAGTAAAAGAAATTTTAAGTTAAAATTCATAATTCAAATAATACAAGAATTTTTAGCTTATTTGATGTCACTTTATTAACCCTTTACCACCACCATCTTGTTTACGTTAATTTTGTAAACTGTCCAAAAGTAATATAGGTCAGTCAGGCAATATTATATTAAAAATTCACCAAAAATAAAATTATTATATTCATATGAAAAAAATTATGTACATTTATTAATATCTTTAGTTTTAAATATGATATTTTTCAATACATTTTATTAGAAAAATTAATAAGAAAAAATATATATATATCAGACCCTACATTTAAACTTGATAATTTGTAAATTTTTGTCAAAATTAACATTGTTTAGTTACCTAGTTTTTTGCTCGCAATGAGCCAGAAAGACGTAGAATATTGTTCTGTACATCTCTATATAACACTTATGCGTGTACGTTTATTCGTTGTGAAATTATCGCTCATTATATCAAACATTTGTTTGAAATCAAAACTTTATTATGCTATCAACTAATATAATGAACCAATATACTTTATTCACTTCATATCGAACAAGAATATAAATTTTTATAATAAACATATGATTACCAGTAGTAATATATGTAACATTTGCTGATATTTTAGATTCAAATAAAAAATATATAAAATGTCAGAACTGAAGATCACAACTTGAATATTTATAACATGTTGACTTATTATAGCTAAATAAACTTATTATAGTAATATTATTGCATGAATATGCTAAAAATGAAATAAAAAATTATCAGAAAAACATAAATTAAGAAAAAAAAGCATTAATTAAAATTTTTTAAGTCAACAAAATACCACTTGGAGAAAAATATGTAAAACAGACGATAGACAAGATGCTGCCATCAAGTGCTACATTACATTACATTACATTAAAAGAGTAGAGAGGTTGTCTGTATGTGCACAGACTTTACCTCTAAGAAATTAGAAGTGATGAAATTGAAATTAGAAGAGGAAGTGATAGTAAGTAGGGAGGGAAAGATTGAAGGGAAGTGTCGGATCATCGAGCCTTTGCATCATAATTGTTGAACAAGTAAAAATACAGGTATAGGACAAAATAATAGGAACACCTGTGAAAGAATGCAAAATATTTATTAGTAGGGAGTTAGGCCACCATTGGCCTGAATTACAGTTTGTGTCAGACCTGGGATTGAGAAATAAAGGTCATGCAGAAAGTTTAAGGGAATTTGCAGCCATTCCTCCTGCAGAGCGGTTCAGGTAGTGTGCATGGAGGAGGAAACCAAGCATGGACTTTGTTCTCTAAAAAACCCCACACAGGCTCAATGATGTTGAGATCAGGGGACTGAGGACACCAGGTGAGATGTTCCACTTCATCATTATTCTCATCCAACCGTGTTTGAACACAGCGAGCCGTGTGTACAGGGGTGTTGCCATCTTGGAATAGAGAACATTCTCCAGGAAACAGAGTATGAAGCATAGGGTGTAAATGATGTGAGAATACTACGATAATGCTCGCCTCTGACCTTCTCTCTCAGGACTATGAGTAGCCCAAGCCACGCCACGATATTGCTCCCCACAGCATCACAGATCCCCTTTCATGCTTCACAATAGGAACCAGACAGTCAACACGAAATGCCTCTGCTGGTATTCGCCAGACAAACGTACATTCGGTGGTCTGAAATATTGTAAATGATGATTCATCAGACCAGACGACCTGTTCCCATTGCTGTTGTGTCCAGTTTTGGTGGTCTTGGAACCACTGTCATAGTTTCATAGCATTCTGTGGCGACACTAACGGCTTTGGAATGGCTACTCAGCCATGAATGCTTGCAGCATGCAGCTCTCGTTGAATAGTTTTGGTGGATACGGGGTTCTGGAGATTCTAGAGATGGGTGTTCATCTCAGAGGTTATCTGCTGCAGTGTAGTCTTATGTTTTTGGGCAACTATCCTCTTCAACACCCATCTATCCCGGTTGGTCAACTTCGACTTTCGCCCACTGTTCTGCTTCGCAGAAGATACCTTTCCCAGTTTTGTGTAGACTGTCATAACCCTTGACACAGTGGACCTTGAAACACCCATAAGGTTGGCTGTTCTAGACATGGATGCTCCAGCGAGGTGAACTCCAATAATCATGCCTCTTTGCATGTCGGACAGGTTGGACATAATGGCGCTTTGCTGGGAAAAGAATTTTCTCATGCAACTGTCACACTGCCAAATGCTCAACTGATACCTTTTCTTTCACTGCCACTGGATGGCAGACTGTTGCGACACGTGGTGGGGCTGTATTGGATGATCGAAGTACATGTTTCGAAAGGGGTGTTCCTGTTATTTTGTCTTATACCTGTACAGTGACAAGACAAAATACGTTCAGTGAAACAGTATAAAAACAAACATGACAAGTTTGCGTGTGTGGGCGAGTGTGTACAGTAAAGGGTGTACAGACACAATGTTTTAACAATTATAAGTATGCGATTTGTGACTGCTTCATATATATAATTTATACAAATATTGACTTGTTAGGAGTAGTAAAAACGTATTGAGGTTGGATGTCACGCCAACTTTTATTTTAATTAAAGCTTCTTCAAAAACTTCAGACACTAAGGTGTTAAACACAATTAATATATTTTATTCTTGCGAGCGCTTTCGACGTAAATATGCACGTCGTCCTCAGGCAAATCAAACGAATAGAGAATTCGAATCATACATTTGAATTTGAACATTAACGATATTAGCCGTTTTTTAATTATAAATAAGAATTAAATTTTAGAATTAAAACATTTAAAAATATTTAAAATTGGCACGCATGCGTTTTAAATTTCGATAAGAATGGCTATTAATTATTTTATAAACGCGCAAAACACTGGCGCGCATGCACCTTAACATGCATTACATAATATCNTTTACGTTAAACTACGTTTATCAACAGAACGGCCTAAAGACGTTGGCTGGCTGAACCGTGGTTTAAAATGCGTTGCAAAGACGACGATAGTCTATTTCTGACCATTCTCTAAACGAACTTCAGCAAAACATTGGCTCTTACTTACTTCGCTATTACTCCCCTGTTTTAGGAGTCATTCGGCCAATCGGGTTATTTGTTTGTGACATCAGGAATGGTCGCCAGCCATTGTTTGGCAATTAATGACAATCCTTTTCTGTTTCGATATTTAATTTCATCGCCAATACGGGTTTAAAATATGAACAAATCCATATTTAGAAAATTTATACTGAATTTGAAATTCGTCTTCGGAGTAGATTTTTAAGGAATTATTTTGACATCTTATTACTGTCAAAATGAATAATTTTAAATATTTTGTTATTAATATTACATTTTTTATATCTATAAACAGTTTTCTGTAATTATTAAAGTTGTCTCATTTGTTTAACAGTACAATGACTCCGAAATGCATTAACGTTTTATAACCGACACGATACTCGAATTGTAAATAAATGCATCTGATTTAAATTAATCGAAGTTTAAGTCTTCACCATTTGAATATCAAAATTGGAACATTTAAAACAAATTTAAAGTATTTAATTTTGTTTTTTTTGCTCCAAGCAATTAATTAATGACTAATTTTGTAGATTCGTACCATTTACAACATTTATCAAAGGAACGATATCTGTTTTTATCTAAACTTTTCCATGAACAAAGCTACCACTTGAATTGAAAAGCCCTCTAAACCTGCTGTTGAGTGAGTCTAGAAAGTAGGTCAAATAACTTGTTTCTAATCGCTGTCTACATTGTGGCAGGGGAGAAACGCCGTCTCTGCAATGAAATTTTTCTGAACAGGCAGTCTATCCGATCTGTAAACCACCATCGGCCTTTAAACATTGTTTCTGCAATCGGCTGATAGGGTCTAATTTGCATATGCACAGTATAGTCAAATCGCGGGTTGAACAAATTGGGCAAGTAGCCGGCCTACCTTAAATGATATCAGCCAGTCTATCATTGGTCCAGATGTGGGATGTGGCCTTGTCATGCGTTAATGGAATTCGTGGGCCTGAGTTTTTTTGTATCTGTTGTCGATAAATTTTACAAAAATTGACTTTTACTAGGGTAATGACGAATCGGTACCCTTGAAGTTTTGCTTAACAATGAGGGGTACCGATTGATTGGTACTTTCGAGGGCAAAGGGTTAACATTTCTTTTCACAAATTAAATGTAAATGCAAAGTTTACTAAAGGAATAAAATAATCAAAAAATTTTATTACATATTGAATTAGAAATAATTTAATTATAATTAACTTTTTTCAGCAAATTGCAGATAAAATTAAACGTGAACTAACAATGAAACCTCATAAATCCATTTCTGGTTGGAGTATTGAAGATGAAGGAAAATATGATGAACAACAATCTCTTATGGAAGCAGAAAAGATTCAACAACAAAAGAAGATGGAAGCTGATTTGGAATTTGAACAAGTAAGATATATTTCAAAAACACTTTTGTTTGAAATTATCTGCTATAAAACTTAATGCTTCAAAATAAATTAATTACTCATATGTAATTTTGTATTTTTGTCATCAGGCAGTTATTAACCAGATTTATATATAACTTTATAAGTTAAATAATTGCAAAGTGCTTAATAATAATAATAATAATAATAAACAACTCTTATCATACACAAAAGAATCCAAGCTGAAATAATAATAATTGAAAATAACAGTTTTATTCTAAAATATTTTATATACATACAAAATATAAATTTAAATTCCAAACTATGATTATGTCTTTTTTCTTTTCATTTTTTAAATGCAAATCTTCACAAAACTGGACTTCACAAGTAAATAAATAATTACAGTACCTGTTTGTTTTATAGAGAAATAAAGCTGCTGGATTAGATAAAGGTACTGTGGTTATTTATTTGATTTTCTGCATTGCAATTAGATTAGTTGATTAATTAGGGGGGGTGTGAGCTGGTTGCTGGAGGTACTGGTGAACTTTTCATGAAGCTTGATTACTGTGTATTAATGAATTGGAAAACTGTAAATAGCCAAAAAATGATTGATTTGGCTAAGTGGATATTTACAAATAGATTATCCCTGGATTTAATAATATGTTTACTGATTTGCGCTGGGATTGAATCAAACCCAGAACCTTTACCTTGTTCTCTGCAACAAATGAACCAAGTGGATATGCAAATAAGGGGACGAGGCAGACCAAGTAAGGTTGGAAATGGAAAAAAATAATCAACTGGATGTTGATTTTTTTTTTGTGTGTTTTAATGAACGAAGATTTTTTCCTAATGGAAGGAGATTATTGTAAAAGTAGTCTTGAGGCGACGAGAACTATGAAAATACATGTATATTTCGAAACATTAAGAGACATAGAACCAGAGATGCAGGAAAAGCCCAAATACGATATATGAATTAATACAGGAGAATTTTTTACAACTTAATATAGAGTTAAAGGCAATTAAGACAGAAGTAAATTCATTGAAAAAGAAAAACAAATACTTCCAAAGAGAATTAACAAAATTGTTCCAAAAAATAGAAGAAATGGAGGAAATATCCAAGAATCACAGCCAAATTAAAGGTATATTGGAATTTGAAGTAGATAAACTGGTAAATGAGAGATATAATAAAAATATCACAATCATAAATTTTCCATTCAATTTCTTGGGCTATCTAAGAGAAGTTAATCAGTTTATAAAAGAGGACTTAAACTTTCAATAGAACTATTTATAATTCCTAACTAGACTAATCAAAAACAAAATTAAACCAATTGTGAACATTTCACTAGACTCTTTAAAAATTATACACCAGAAATTTAAAGAATTCTGGAAAATGAAAGTTAACTCTGATAACAAGGAGACGAAAAAAATAATAATTTACTGCAGACTTATGTAAGAGATCAAGACTTGGGAGAAAAAAACTACAAGCAATAATTAAACAAGAAAAATCCAGTGGAAATAGGATTATAACAAGAGATGATTATCTAAGTTAGCATCATATGTATATATTTTGTTGACTTTTATGTAATAAAGTGGTACAATTAAGCAGGTTTTTAGGAAGGAACTAACTAACACATTAGAATTAATAAATAATGGATTGAAAGAAAAAGTAGATAAATGAAATGTTAGGATTAATGTCACATTCTATATTATCTTTTTAAGAGAGGAATCTCCTTTAAATTACTGTTGTTAACCTGGTTGTCTATATTTCTGACTTTATTAAAGATAACATACAGTAATGATAGTACCAAAATATTTATAGGATTTTGGAATATCCAAGGACTTCAAGAAAAACTTTACAGAGATTCCATAAAAAAAATATATCAAATTCCATTCAATCATCAATTTTACAGAGACATGGACAACCAAAATGAAAGAGGAAGATAGTACTATGTATTCTTGTTCAAGATACTTTTTATTTAACAAGGCACAATTAGAAAATTTGGTCGACCATCCGGAGGCCTTTTATTGCTAATTAAGAAGCAAATTGGTGAGTTACTACAACATTATGTAACCAAAAACTTTATTTTTACTACAATAGATACTGGGCAGAGATTTAAATCAAATTGGGTAGATTCGAGGATTGGAATCATACTTGTATATCTCCCCCTTTCAATTGATAAAAAGTCATGTTTTCATGAAATTCAAAAAATCATTATATACAATGATCTAATTTTATTAATTTAGATAATAGGTGGTGATTTCAACTAGGGAAAAAAGTGAACTGTTTCCCAGGATAGAATTAATTATTTTTAAGATATACAAAATATCTTGAAATGAAATAATATAATTATTTTTCATTTTTTAAAGTAATTTAATACATTCTGCAACCTCCAAAATCATATTAATAATGCTGTGTAAGATATATATTAAAAATTATCTTTGAATAACGTAGAAATTTTCATAAATAGAAAAAATTTATTAAGGTTCACTGGAAACAGCACAACAACAAAAAAATGCTTTGGATTGAGTTGAAAATTTAAAAATATGAACTTAGATTAAACTTCTAACTTAAAAGGTAGTTTTCATTTTTTAAATAAAACATAATATAAAATATTATTGTAAATTTTTATATTTTAAAAAGCAAAGATGGTCAATACTCCAATCACTCAATCTGATTCTTATTTTAGTAATGAAAAGTCCTGCTACCGAGAATGCCCTTTCTGATTCAATTGATGTGAGTGGAATTATGTTTAATGCATGTAAGAGAAGACAGATGTTACTTATTTTTTCACCTGTAGCCTGGAAGATTTCTAGTTCATTTTCAAGATTGTAGTACTTCTTTTGCTCTCTAGTATTTTTGATTTGTCTACCTTGGCTGCTTTAATAGAAACTTCAAGCTTATAGCCCGATAATTCGGCAGTGTGATTGGCTTTAATAATCAAGTTTATGAAGAAAAACTTTATACTGCTTACTTCATGCTCGTTTGTACCCTTGCCCAATTTTCACAACCTGGCTTTATGCAGTTATTGAAACTACTGGGCATGGTTAAAAATTAAGACAGCATAAGCACAATTATTCCAGATATTACAGGTTCTGACAAGTGAAGAATTTTCAGAGTCCTGCCACAAATAAGCTATGCATTGATTATTGACCATTTGTGACGTGCCATAACAAGCAAAAATTTAAAAAACTAATAAGTAGGTTTAAAATTAATAAATATCAATGTATTCTGACAGTTTGAGTTAATTATACTTTCTATTTGCAAAATTTCCTCAACCTTAACACAAAATAAGAAAAAAGTGAATTTTTAAGAAATTTGCGTGATTTTCCAGGTTAAAAAAGACAACTGGGATCCCATTTGAGAAACCCTACTATGGTCTATCTAGGCCCTTATGCCAAAAAATCTATTTTATTTTCCCTATTTTTTCTACAGATATCAGGAGCCTGATGGCTTTAATCAGTCATCAAATACATTAATGTGTTTTCCATTCACAACTGTTTGTCCATTTGAATCCACAGAAATCAAGTCTAAACTAAGGAAACAAAATAAAAAATTAAGGTAGCCAGCCTTTACAAAAAACAAACTAAAAATGGTTTCTTAACACAGTATGTGAATAAGATTTGTGTGTACAAAACATGTCTCCAATTAAGCATCATTACCAAAATGAAAATCAGGAAAAATACCTAAATTCATTACTTTAGATAGATCATGTGAGGTTTCTGATAAACACCAAATGCTAACTATCAGAAAGCAATTAGATTTCTTCTGCCTAGACCAGGCATGGCCAACATACGGCCCGTGGGCCGGATGTGGCCTGTGTAATGGATTTATGTGGCCCACGATTAATCTTTTAATATTAGCTACTCAAGTCAGAATAGATCAGTGAAAAATTTAACGCCTAAAAAAAAAAAAGGTCAACAACTAGCTGTCTGATTAGAGTTAACCCTCCATTACAAATCTTGTTGTAAGTACAGCGTAGAATGTTGATAAAGCATGATAATGTGAAAAATGTATCTGTAATCTCTATGTGCAATTTAGTCTCTGTATATAAATATCACCAAACCCAATATATAATAAAGCTACATACCAACAGACTGCCGAAAATCTATCGGGCTAGTTTTATGCTAATTATTAAATAAATTACGTAATCAATTTGGCACTAGAGGTAAGCGTTAGGCGCCATCTCTTATTAATATTAATAATTATAAATAAATTTAATTAATTTAAATAATTTGGAACCGCTGGGAGAAAAAATCGGCCCGGAGCGGGACTCGAACCCACAACTCCTGCTTACCGTGCAGATGCGTTGCCAGTTACGCTATCCGGACCTCCGGTCCGATCTCCTCTTCCAGCGTATATAAGTTAACTACTTAACCATCGGTTAAGTAGTTAACTTATAGGTAACTAGCCCGATAGATTTTCGGCAGTCTGTTGGTATTTAGTCTCTGTGGGGTGACACCACAATGAGATCTTGCACCCACCTCAAAATCTTCTTAGACAGCCTCTGGTTCATCCCGTGAAAAAAGTTTTCTTTCCAATTCGGCCCAGGGGCAAAAACTGTTGGCCACCCCTGGCCTAGACAGACAACTAAACTTGTCAACTATTGTCAACTAAACTTATTATCATTGTTATAAAATTTTTTCTTTACACTTTTACTCTCTTATCATTGCCAAACTGATGTAAGATAGTTTTGTTTCCCTAATACAAGGTGAATAATAATTGCATATAAATCTTCAATCCTTTTAATTTCTTTGACTTTTTAACAAAATTTTATCTTAACTTTTTGTAATTTAATTGTAGTGAAACCATCCTTGAATGTGGAGTCAAACTTGTAACATGTATCAATCTCAATGTGTGATTGTTTAGAGTTACTTGATTTATCAAGAAGACTTTTAGAAGAATATGGTAAAAATGAAAAAGCATTTAATTAAATTGTTTTTCTTACAGAAGTTTCCATTTTATCTATAAGTCAAGATATTTTAGACATACAATTCCCAAACTTTCAGAATGGTTAGTCTTCAAGATTACAATGGGATTGATAGATGTGACATTTTAAGTTCATAATTGCTTCCTTTAGATTTTCAATCAAAGCAAATATTCTGTCAACTTCATGAATCATTTCCTCTGAATGGAAGTTCTCTATAATAAAAAGTTTCATTAATATGAAAATACTTATATGAATGTCCAAAAAATCCTTTAAAATCAAAATGGGTGCTTCTGCCCCAAGGTGCAATGTGCCCATTTTGTTGATATGATTAGCTGTTTAGATTAATTTTTGATCCTGATTCTGACTGTGAATGTAAAAGAGAGTGAAATTTTGTTAAGAAAGATTAAAAAATTAAATATAAAATATTTTATTTGTATGGCTAATTTATCCAATAGCTTTTCTACAGAAATTAAATCTTTCATTTATTTATTTCTAACATTTCTCTCTTATAAATCCAAAAATTAAAGTGTAAAATCTCTAGAAAATTAAGTAATATAAACTCAAATGTAGTGTGAAAGTAGATATGAAATATAAAGCCAATTCTCATGTTAAACTTCTTTCAAGGTACAGGTAACCCCCGTATAACATGGCACTTCTATAGCACGGATTCACTCTAACACGGTTCGAGAATTGGTACCATCCCCGTATAACACGGTACTGTTATAGCATGGATTCACTCTGATACAGTTTAAGAATTGGGTAAACCCTCATACAACATCAAATGTAATAAATTTTTACATGCTTAAGTAATAATAGTTCATGAAAATTATTATTTTCGTGAACTATCAATACTTAAGCATGTAAATTTTCTTTTCTCGCCTTCTGTTGATACACATGGTCCTTCTCAAAACTTGTTTCAATGTTGCCAGATCTCTACGCTTCTGCTTCTGAGGTTGCCAGATGTTTTTCCCTTATTCCATACTTGCTTTATTCTTCATAAGTGCTTAGCACCATATAAGGAAATTTATAAAGATCTTTTAACTAGAAGCGAGCAATCTAAAATTACATACTTTTTGCAAAAGGTAAAGCATGGATCTGAAGATAATGCAGAAAAATACTCAGAGGATAAGGATAACTTGCCAAAAAGAAAACGCTTTCCGTTAATAGTGCTTTTAGTGATGACGAAGAAAATATTGTTTAATTTATATTAATATGTATCACTTAAGAAAATTTTAATAAAGATATTTATCTTAATTATGAAAATATA